GAGCTGGTTTGGAAAGAGAAAAGAAGAAAAAAAAAAAGTATAGTTATGGTTAAAGAATGAAAACAAGGTGAAGACTACAGGTTTGGCCAAGTGGGTGAGCACTTTGACAGGGGCATCAAGCTTTGCTGTGCCCTTATTTGACTGGGCAGTCAAAACACGTCACCACAGTGGGTAAACACGCACATATATACATGGATGCCTACCCACACAGAACTAAACATCTCCCAGGATGAGAGACCAAATCGCATTTCATTGCCTCAAATTTGCATGTTTGACTCCTTAGCTTAAAATGCTAAATATTCTGCTCCAGAGTGATGGAGACTGTGAGGTGGGGGGGGTGGGGACAGCCAAACCAGCTTAGTATTGCAAATAAACCAGACGCTGTGAGAAAGCGTGGCAGCCGGCTGAAGGTTGGATCATAAATTATGCCTGGTATTTCACAATGTTCCACAGTGCACAAATGATCCACTCAGGGACTCGGGAATGATATTATGGGATTCCTGTGTGGCTTCAGTGTCTGAATGTGTCCACATGTACACACACACACGGCACACACAAAAACCTCAGCCAAGGACGAGCCACATGCTCAAGTCTAAAAGTGTATCGTGCAACAATGAGCGTATGCTGACAAATAAAACAACCAAAATTAAATCAGAACAAACAGGTTACTTGTGTTTTTTGATAGTTCTGATAGTAATCCAAATGTTGACTTAGAAGAAAGGGACCACCGGAGAAGAGCATGGCTAGACTGGCTGTGCGTGTCTGCTTTAGTTAAGCAGATGGGCGAGTATGTGTGTAATGACCATATTATCTGAAACATGTTGAACTGGTCTGAGAATGTCCCACTGAACTCGACACAGCCGTAGTCCTTAAGTGATTTGTACATTAAGGCCTCAGTCACACAGACCAGTCAGCGACCCACTGGAAACCTCTGTTCATTAGGGAAAAACGCATATTCCCTGAATGCTTGGCAAGTGGTTGCTGGCTGTTGCTAAGTGACAATGGTCAATGAATGCTTGGATTGCTAACAGAATCCCACAGTCATCCGTAATGTGCATGGAGGACACCAACGTGTCTGCAAATACTTGCCATTTATTCTCCGAGCGCTAAATTGAAAAAGAGTGACTGTAAATGAAGAATGTAAAAGTTGTTCCTCTTAAAATGTGCTTGTTACAGTGAAAAGGCACATCTTTTACTTTGATGCAACTTTACTTTTCACAGTTTCACTGCCACTTGGCGAGTAGTTTTTGAGTCTCTGCAGACAAGTCAGCATCTTCGACGTAAACTGCTTATGACCGCGGCAACCTGGTAAGGAGGTTTTTGGTGCATCCTTCTTTGCAACTGCCGGGAAACTCCCATAATCACTTGCAAACAAGTCAGGGGAAACACTGGTGGTTACCAGGGAGTCAGTGAATGGTCTCTAGGCCCGTGTGAATCGATTGCACCAACTACTCATGACCACTTAGGGAATAAACATTTTTGCACCAGTGGTTGCTAGAAGGTCATTGACTGGCGCCCAATTAAATTATCAGAGAATTTTTTGACTGGTTTGTTGATTTGATGGCATCATCATCGGCTTTTATGTTGGCATTTTTCAACTAATCATCCATTTAATCATGTAAAATAACCTTTAAATGGGACCTATTATGCTTTCATTTCAAGTCTATGAATTTGTTAGAGTAGCTCTGCACAATTTACAGTTCAAATCCTTAATCTTACACTGGAGCCATGGTGCAACTCATCATTTCATCCATCGTCTGCAATACTGACAATGCCAATATACGATTCAAACAGCGGGTCGTTGGGGCTGTTGTGTGCCTGAGACAACCATGTTAGCAAATCTGCTCTCACTAACATCATAGAGAGCCAAATGCAGAAACGCTATCACTTTACATCATTTTTCAAGTATAATTCAATTAGATATAGCTAAAAGCAAGCAAATAAAGTCTGTTCTGGTTCTGGTTAAGAGACCATAAGGGTATATTGCTTACCGTTTTGATTTTGTACAATCCCTCAGACATGAAAGGAAATGGAGACAGTCATACATTACTGGTGTAACTCCAGAACACAAGCTGGTGTTTAAGTGACAGTGGTGCAAGCACTAACCTTGGAAATGTTCACATCCTTCAAAACAAATATCCAAATTACTTCCAACAGTCTCCCAGCCTGACTTGGTTGCATGTCACACACTCCTCTTGTTTCCTGTCTAGATCGACTGTTCTACTGGGGAATAAACACCCCAAAATAAGTTTTAGTTGTAGCTCTACTTGGCCAAAATTCTTCTTTTTCCTACTCCCACTTACTACATAAAACTGACATAAAAGCATTTCATGGCTCTTGAAGTAAAAGCTGCACTTTAGCAAGTCTATTTTTATGGCTTCACCATAGCAGCATTGTGCTGCTTCACTTCCCCTGGTCAGGGCAGCTAGCATGAGAAGGAGCTCCAAAAGCAACGTTGGCATGGAGGAGAAAACCAGCAAACCCGGCCCTCAGCGGCCCTTAACAAAAGGCAGCAGTGTAGAGATCCCCTCAAAAGTAAAAGCCAACCAGAGAAGAAGAGGGAAAGGGCAGAAAGGAGGGGAAAAGGCTGAAAATAGTCCAGCAGTCTGAGTCTGCATACATCAATGCCACAATGACGAAAGCTCCAAAAAGAAGCAGACTTGTTAATAGATGGATGGCTGGAAGAATATGAGGAGGGATGCCTTGAGGGGAAGAAACGCATATTAGCAGTTTTAAATATTGTGGGTGAAAGCAAAAGAACAAACTCAGGAGGAACGTCATGTGACACCAAGCAAGGGAAGCAAAGGTCATACACATCAAATTGTGACAACTTAATTACCTTTTCCATTCAGCAACTTATTTCAGAACTTTCTAAAAAGCACAAAAAAGTATCTAAACATCTAAAAACAAGACAAAATAGCAAAGGATAGGAGAGGGTAGGAGACACAGAAGAGGGATAAGTATGTAACAACCCGCCTGTCTGTCTGAACATTCCTCTCTCGGAGAACATGTATATTTTCTGATCACAAGAAAAATAATCCGCAAGAGGAATTTTATTTTGAGAGCCGCCCCGTAGATCCAAGGCCTACAGCAGGCCAGGGAGTAGTGTGTGAAAGCGAGTGTGATGGCGAGACTGTACATGTTCCTCTCACACGCTCAGTCACGATTTAAGTGTTAAATAGTGAAAACACCGCATGTATCACCGGGCAGATCGCTTGCAAAGGAAGAACATTTGAGGATCCACACTGCTCAAGTCACGCATGATCACATGAACAAAACTTCACAACCTCCCCCGACACACATACACATAAGATATATGAGGTTACACTTCAGCCAAAATTGATTTCGGAGTTCTTCTTTTGAAGACGTTGATACCGCTATCACTCATCCAAAGTCCATTTGTTTTAACTGCAGTCATCTCATGTGCGACTGTAAGGAATCTGACACTAAAATATAGTTGGCAAGCAAAAGCAGGCAGCTACATATTTTAAACTAGACTGCGAAGCATTTAAGTAGTTTTACATTTTAATAAGTAAGCAATTTTGCACTTTAGCTAAAATAAGTAGATCGATACCAATCTAATGTATCTTTAAGCCTACAGCTGCTAGCCAATCAGAGCTGGGGAAGCACAAAGGCTGGAAACAGGAGGAAACAGCTGACCTGGCTCTGCCCAAATGTGACAAAATTACTAATTAACAAGTGAATCTTGTTGTTCAATCTGTAGTGAAACAAAAAGTAGAGAGCGAGACACAGGGAGTGGTTCCATTTCAAACTGTTAGGTCCAAATTAGAGAAAAGGGATATCGTAAGCAGCAAAGTGCAGTATTATAGCAATCATCTGTGAATATCCCAGAGTAAAGTAAAAGTAAAGCATAACTGATGAAGTCTGATTATGATGCAGGAGCAACCAATGAACCTTGGTACAGATTCTTCAGCTTGCTGGGACTCTAAAGCTGGAAGGATGTTAACACCTTTCCTCTGAAGAACATTTTCCCCACATTTGTGTTAGCACACATTCGACTGGGTTCATATCTAACAATAAAAAAACAAATTTTGCATTTTTCACACTGAAAACGAACACTTTGTTCTGAACGTTTATTCGTGTTTTTCCTTCATCACATTTCTGCCGTGGAGGTTCCAATTCCAGATTTAACGGACTGAGATCAAAACAAAAGACACCCGGCACATCAAGAAAAACGACAAGACGGCACACGCATTCGTTAGTGTCCTCGGGGCCTCGCCCTAATGTGCGGCACCTGTATGAGGACAAATAATTACTGGATATTACAAGTTATTCACTCTCTTGTGAGTTTAATCCACAGTCCTTAGCTGTGTGAAGAGGAGTTATTATGAACTGAGAAAAAGATTTAATCACCTAAAAGTATTACCAAGTGGACATTTGGCAACCGCAAATTAAAGTCATTAAAAGCTGCAGGTTAAGAATAAAGCTGTACACTCTTGACTCGTGACCTCACCGTGAACTGGACCGGTATCGCCATAGCAAAATCCTACCAACCACCGTCACGTCAGTCAGCGGCCATTGACTGCAAATACCAGACTAAAATATTATGATTTCTGTAACTATAAGGCCACAGACAAGAGGTTGAAAGAGACATATTGCAGCTTAAGCACATAAACACTTATTAAATTGTAGAGATGGTACCCAAAGCATACAAACCATACTGCTGGGTGAAGGACTTTGGTTCAACATTTAGCCTTTTATGGACATTATTGAGGTTACAGCGACGCTGGTTACTTAGACATCTGTGTTTGGTGTGTAGGTGGCATGAGTGGTGTTTGCCCATCTTTTTTTACCACCTGCGTTGGTGGCTTTTAACCTTTAACTTGATCATTGCGAGGCAGTGTGCACCATCTTCCACCAGAAGCATCACGAGA